TCGTCCCGACTTGAGCCGAGTTTTGCCTGCCTCTATCTTTTCCTTTTTCTTCTTCTCTTTCTTTGATTAACCCTTGAGCTTGATTTTTCTTCCTTATTACCGTGTCTGTGCCTTCTGAGTGTCAACTTTGTTTTTGATTTCACAGCCAGACAAGGTGCCTTGTGCGGAATCAAAGCGAGCGAGTGCGAGGGCTGCCAAGGAGGCGTTTTTCCTTGGTTTTAATCCTAGTAATGGTCCAAGACATGGGATTCGAGAACAGAGTGGTTGAGAGGAGTAGGCCCTGTGAGACAGGGGGCGAAGGGGGCCAACTGAGACTTTTCTCCGCCCCTGTCGATGCAGGCCATGTCCTGCTCATGCTATGATGCTGTCGTGACGACTCTGGACCTCAGTGGGCGCGACAGACCATCATAGTATCACGTCACAGAGCACACTTGGCTAGAAGGCTTCTGGTGAGGACGTGCCGACTGTCGAGTGGGGGCTTATGTCACCCCGACTGGTGTGTGCGGATCGAGGGCGATCCCCAGGGTCTGCCGTGGTCCAATGTTCCCATCGCTGGTAGCGTTGCAACAACCAAGGAAACTCTCCTCCTTGACTGACCCTTTCCCTGTCAGTGCAACGCTGAGAGCGATCAGACAGCGGAGGGCACCAGCCAACTCGTCCCAGCTGTGCGGGCAGCTAATGCTAGGCCAAGCCTAACAACGCAACCCCAGGATACTTGTACATTTTGCTAGAGCTCGGCTTTCGCAACCCCGCGCGGCCCTTGAGGGCTCTTGCGTTTTTCTTTTCTTTTTCCTTCTTCTTTCGAAGAGAACTTTGTCCTCGAAGAATATGAGACACTTGTTTCCTTTGTCAGCTCAAACACGCCATATGGTCAACGGGGCACTATGGAGGCGGAGGGCCAGGCCATCCACAATCGGGAATGGACAACGAAAAGACCAAACCAACTGGCGCCATGAAATACCCAAGATCGTTGCGATCATTTGATGGAGCAAGGCCTGAAAGGTGCCGCTGGAGAAAAGGCATAAGCCACCCTCAACCGTGGTGAGTGGATACTGCTTCATTTCCCCACCCCAGGACGTTGTGCAACGCGCCGCTTGAGGGCCAGTGCAGGGGCTAATCTCCCACGCCCCGACGGGGCTCCCTGTTGACATGCCGTGATCGTTCGATGCTCCTCTTCGCGCAGAGCTTCCTCGTGCCGTTATTGGTCTACTTACTAGTGCCCAACGTCCCCGGGGCACGGTAGCGCAACTCTAAGGCGGGCCTTGCCCTCCTGAGGAATCAGCACAGCTCCTAAAAAGGCGCGATCTTAGAGCTGCAAGACAAGTTTTGGAGCTCCTTAGCCTCTCCATCTCAGGGCAGGAGGTGCAGAGCGCGCTATAAAAAGGAAAAGAAAAAAGAAAAAGAAAGGTCCGGAACTGCATGGTAGGATCTGATGATGTCTTCCTCTTTTTTTCTTTTCCTTCCTTTTTCCCTCTATATTCTCTGAGTCTCATTGGGTGCGGAAACTCGTTCTTCCTGTTTGGGGAAGGGGTTTCTCAAGTTACCTTCATCAGTGTTTCGTTCATGATCGTGATGACGAGGCTACATGTACGCGATGGTGGGACACACGTTTGTCTTTGTCGTGCCTCCGTGAATAATACCCCTATCTCTCTTTTCTCTGTCCACCTTTTCTTTTGTCATCCGGCCCAAATATGGCTCGGTATCTCCTCCTCACGATATTGCTTGGCAGGGAGGATTGGGCTGGTTCCACGTCGAGGAGGGGCGGGGTGGAAAGAGGCTGACCCCGGCAGGCCTCCCCGGTCCAGTGGTAGCGTGCTTCTGTATAATAAACCTCGCGGTAAGGTTTACGATTGGGCTCCCAGTCGAGGCTCTGGGCCCGCCCTCTCCTGGCTGAGGATATCCCTAGCCACAGCCCCCTTCGATCTCGTCTTCCTCAGTCCCCAGAGGAGGAAAAGACAGAAGAAAAACGCAGGGGGCCACCGAGCTCTTAGTGCTCAGTGCGGTCCCCCAAACTAAATCAACGCCAGCCACAAGCCTGCTTAGGAATATTTCCGTAATCCACCGCTGACCCAACTGGAAACTTGATCCCTACATCCCGAGGAGGCTAATGGGGGTGGAGATGTTTGCAGAATCCGACACCGGATTCCGGCAAGGGAAGGAATTAATGGAATACTCAGAGAAGCAAATCAATCAAGCATGAGGAAGAAGAAAAAGAAGAATAAGAAGTAGGGAGGCGAAGGGGCAAAACAAGACGATGGGGGAGCTGCCTTGCCTGCCACCGGAGAGGGAAAACAGACCTCCTCGGAGACGGGGGCCTTTCTTACGGAGAAGGCCAGGACAAGGCTCTTGGGTTCACATAGCGGAGCATCCATTTTGATTCCACGATGTACCCTCACGATACTAGCCTTCGCCAGAGTTTGCAATCATGGAGAGGCTGCCTCACATCTCGTCTGCTGGACCAGGTGTTCCGGCTCCCCGATCGCATTCGCATCTCGAAGGCACGAGAAAAGGGGCCAGTGCCAGGAACCAAAAGAAGGGGAGGGCAAAAACGGACAATGGAGAAAAAGACAAGGGGAAGGAAAAGAAGAAGGAGGCTTGCAAGGCTAGTATAGTTCGCGCGCGCGGGCACACACGACAATATTCCCGCAGCACATTCCGGCATCGTTCGCGCCCATACTCTCTTTGGGGATATTTTTCAAACAACCACCAGAGGGCGACACGCCTCTCCCCCTTTGAGCCAAACACAGGCCAGACCTTTGCAAGTCTGACAATCGGACAGAGACCCGGTGTGTTGTCTAATGGCGTATGTGTATGTGTGTGTTCTGCTTGCATGGAGTGTGTACGTACGTGGTTCCACTGTCACACTAGGTAATCTCTCAGCTCTGCGCTTTCTTCCCTCCTTTTCTTCTTTTCCTCCATATTTCTTGCCCCGTCATTTGCCGCCTGTCCAGATCAAGGCATCCAGCTGTATCCTTACACGATATGACCCACCCATTTGTGACCATCGTCGTCACAACCCGCCCCCAAAAAGCCGTTGGTTCTGCGACCCCCTCCGCTATTTTCTTCCCTCCCCTTCTGCGGGTCGCCAGCATCGCAACGTTTCGGGACCTTGCATGTTTTGCTGATTCGCGTATGCAGGAGAGCCCAGTGGACAAGAGATGGCCCAAGGCTAGCCTCCCCTGTCACACAATCTCTTTCATCCTCTCCTTTCTCCCGCGTCTGTCTCGTCATGGCTGTCTCTTCACTGCCTCGGGGAACGGTCCCGCTCCCGAAACCGCACGCTGTCTATGTTTCTCCCACGCCACGCACTGCCTTGGCGTTGCCTAGAACACGTCGACGTTGAGGATATCATGAACATGAAATGAGGGACGGGAGAGTGCGAGCGACAAGACAGTCGCTTACTATCGAGGAAGCTACGGGGAGGAGAGTTCCGCCCTTCCTATCTGGTTCTGATTGGGCGGGTTCTGAGACAGTTTGGCTTCTGTACGGCTGCCAGAACTGCTTTTGCTTTGCATGTTTCCTGTATGATGTTTCGCTTAGCCCATGTTCCTTGAGCACTCGGGCCTCGGCAGCTTTCATACCAAGCCTACTTCCGTCTTCATTCTTCGAGAGGGTTCAAGAAAAAAGGGAGGGAGGCAAAAAACCAAACCTTGGCTAGTGTCCGACTCAGACATCTTCTCCAAGGGGAAAGCACGAGGTACTAGGTGAAACGAGCGAGAAGCGGGCAAGGAGCTTCTGCGCCGACCGGGTAGAGCTGCTCTGGCAGCCTTCCGCAACACGTTGGGATCAAGTGTCTTGCTGTGTTCAATGGATGACTTGAAGGAAGCGAGGAGGCCCCTAAATGCCCATGACCTATGTCTTTGAGCCACCGAGACGAAGGCGTTGGGGCCCTTCCACTCGAATGATACGGTGCTCCGGTACTATTAGTGTGTATGCACGTCACAACTTACCACGCTCAGGAGACAAAAGATATGCATGGTCAAGTCAGGTAAAGGCTCCGGGAACTGCAGTGCCTGGCGACGTTCTGTTGCTGTGTGCTAGTGTTGTGCGTAGCAGCTATTTTTGCAGTCATTGATGGGAGGGCCAGCTTGGCTGCATGGCGACACGCGACACGCGAACCGCGATCTCGATCTCGATCTCTTTTTGCTGCCCAAAACGCCGGCCGCACTTCTTTTTCCTTCTTTTTCGGAGGGGTATTTGTAATATCTCGCAAAGGCCGCCTGGAGAGAGACCAAAAGCCCCGAGGGTAGAGCTCAGCCTTGGCCAGCCCAAGGAATACTCGTTGCTCTCTCGTTCTTTTTCTCTCAAGATCAAGCCTCGTATATCATTGGGGTTCTGGCGTGCTGCAGGCACCCGTTGGCACTCGGCGAGACGGGGCGGTATGTGCTGGGTCGGGTCTACGTCCAAGGCGTCTTCAGCTCGCCCTGGTTTGGCAGTTCGCGTGAGGGAAGCAACTGTGACGTAAAGTCTCGGGTGCGAGAGAATCAAGAGGAGGGCAACCCTGTCTGGGATGCACGAGTGGTGTCACGAAGGCACGGAAGGTATGAAAGGAAGCCTTCGCGATACAAGGATATCTCTTGCGAGGAGGACTGGAAGCAGTCTAACATGGGCTGGAAAGACGTTTCCTTGCTGATGAGCATAGGCTTGGCTCCTCAGGTTCACGCTGGGAATGGCGCCTGTCCCCCGCCTCTTTGGAAACTGTTTGGTGTAACCTTTATCATACCCCATTTGGCTATCTAAGAAGAGAACAGCAGCTAACAATTCATTTCTTCTCTCTGCGTCGTTTCTTTTTCTTCCCAGATATATAGCTAGGTACTCTATGACTTGGACGATTCGCTACATGCCCGCATAACCATGCCCAAAAAAGGTCAACATGAGACGAACACGGACGGGAGACGTCGCTATTAGACCGCGATGCCCCCAAAGACCCAAAGATGAAGGGCAAACGCAACAATGAAACATTAGGAAAAAGAAAGGGAAAAAAAAAGAAAAACGAGCTCTTAGGCAGCCGGGACCCATAGATTGGAGAATTCGAGCGTGACGCGGCCGTTGCTGGTCTCGATGAACTTGACAGAAGCCAGGTCCTTGACGAGGAAATCCGGCTCAGCGGCCAGGACTTGCTCCACGGTATGGCTCGTGACGAGGCCGATAACCTTGCAGCCGGCGTCCTTGCCAGATTTGATGCCGGCAGGGCTGTCCTCGAGGACGAGGATGTTCTTGGAGGAATCGGAGAGCCCGAGCTTTTCCCTACCGAGAAGGTAGCAAGTGGGATCAGGCTTGCCGTTCTCCACGGACTCGGCCGAGACGAGCACCTCGGGGGTGGGGAGGTTGAGCTTGGTGAGCCACCCAGAGACGAGCGGGGTGGTGCCCGAGGTGACGATGGCCCAGTTGCCCTTGTTCTCGATCAGAGGTTCCAGGAGAGCTCGAGCGCCGGGAATCTCGACGGCGTCTTCGCTGTAATCCCTGGGGAGGGCGGCCTCCATATCGCACACGTCTGGAAGGAGGAGATTAGTTCCGCGCCGCGCAGTCTTAGGGCGTAAACACAGAGAGCAGGGAAGGGGAAGGGGAACTGATGAGACTCGGGAGTCTCGAGAAGAGGATTCGGAAGGGGTGGGGGCCGAGGAGTGGAATACTAACATTCCCAGTTGGCCTTCTCGGGGGCGAGAATCTTCAGGATATCGATGCTACGACGACCGTGGGAGGTCTGAAGAATAACCTCGGGGGATACGCCGATTTCATTTCCAATGCTAAGGTCACGGCATGTTAGTCCCCGCAGATATAACTCAAGTCCAAGGGGAGGCGATAAGGAGGCTGAGAGAGAAGGAGAAGACACAGTGTATAGGTATACTGGCTTCTAGTGTGCCTCCAACTCTCCTCTCGAGCGTGGGGTGTCCTTACCGGTGCCAGTGCTTGATTACGGCGGGTGTAGAGTCTATTATGGTCCCGTCCATATCAAACAGGAGGCCGTCAAAGGTCTCCTGATCGTAGCACCGGAATAAGCCATCGTGAGTAGGTTGGGCAACGGGATTGCCCAGCGATCGCCTTTTATACTTGTTGTTTCGTTCTTGTTCTCGCGAGGAGCGCCAAAGGCTTTAATAAGAGCGCACTGCTGGAGACAGGCCTGCCTGAGCTTTTCTTTTGATTATGTACTAATATATGTAAAAAGAAAGGGTGGTGAGAATGATAGGCAAGCTTGGAGGGGCAGGGCTCTGCGCTAGAATTTGGTCGGTTCAGGTGTCGTCGTTGTTGTAGTCAAGTTGTTGTCGCTGCCGCAATCTACAAGATGCTATAGAGAAGAATACACGGGAGTGGATTTCCGGTCCTTCTTATCTATCTATTGTTTGGCCACTCTGTAGCCTTTGCTTTGGGCGGGATGGAGTAAGGAGGATTGAAAAAAGGAGCCGGCAGTCATGGGACGGTGGAGAAATGAATAAGGCCGAACGATTTCACGATGCGTCGGAGTTTTCCCAAGAAGAGAAATATGTCCTATTCCAAGTTAGGAAAGTCTACTCTTTGGCCGCAACCGGCTCTGCGTGTACGTCGGAAACCCGCTCTGCCATTATTGCCAGGATTGGTGATAGGGCGTCGGCGACTTATTCCCGGCCCCATTGGCGTTGTGGGCGCTCTCGAGTCAACTCCCCACGTTTAGTCATCGCTGGATACGAAGACATCCACCCTGTTTGCCTGTCATGTGCGACGAGACGGCACCTTGGGCATTTGGGTACCCGAAGCTGGCTCTATCCCGCCAAAGGGAAGACACAGTATCCCGGCCATCCCGAGGGTTCCCAACACACGGGAAGGGACGCAGGCCGAGTCAGTGGAGAGTGAACAAGAGAGTCCGTTACTCGGCGAGCAGTTTCGGTGTGGAGAGTGAGAAGATTTGGCGGGGAGCGACCACACACCGAGAAGACAGAGGCAAAGAGGGAAAGATGGTGGGGCATCTGGCGGTGAAGTATGGCAGAAAAGTCCCCACCACTTTTTTTTCTTGTCGATTGGCAGCTTTTCGACTTTTTTTTCTGGGGGTTTTTGGTCCATTGAAAGCGTGAGCCTAGTAGAACTTTGCTCAACCTCACCATCTCTCCTCTCGCAGTCAAAAGACAGAACATAGTCTAAGCTGCGATATAATGGCGGGAACAATTAATAAACCCAAGAGTATGTCATCAGATCCTTTTGAAAATGAAAACAAAAAGACCCAATCCAGACCCAAGCGTCGCAGCGAGCGAGCCCGCTTCCAACGGCTGCAAATTTACTACTTAGTATATCCAAGTCCACACCGCTAACTTTTGCCTCTGCCTTTCTTTCTTCTCGCGCTTTCTAGAACCCAAGTCGAAGCGCGTTACCTCGCGCTTGCGGCACAAGATCGAAAAGAAGTCTGCGGCCAAGCAGAGGAAGGAGAGAAAGCTCTCCAAGAAGAACCCGGAATGGCGCTCCAAGCTGAAGAAGGATCCCGGCATCCCCAACTCGTTCCCTTATAAAGAGAAGATCCTGCAAGAGATTGAAGAGAACCGCGTGAAGAAGCAAGAGGCTGCCGCGAGGCGGAAGGAGCTGGCCAAGGCTGCCAAGACCGGCGCCTCGGCCGACGGAGGAGAGGACGAGGCCGGCTCTGACGTCGAGGGCTCTGGAGACGACGAGTTTGATGACACCATGGAGGTGGACGACGGCGCCATCGACGAGTCGAACCCCATGGCTGCCCTTTAGCCAGCGCCAGGGCCGCCGCCGAAAAGTACGAGAGGGAGCTGCAGAGCGGGGACGAGGACATGGACGGCGGCGACTCGGACGACGACTCCGACGTCCACTACGGCACGCAAGAGCAGGTCCCCGTCGGCCAGGCCTCCACCAAGAGGGCCTTTGAAAAGGTCTACAAGCAGGTGGTCGAGCAGGCCGACGTCATCCTGTACGTGCTCGACGCCCGGGACCCCGAGGGCACCCGGTCCCGCGAGATCGAGCGGAGCATCATGGCGGCCGCGAGCGGCGGCAAGCGCCTGATCCTGCTGCTCAACAAGATCGACCTCATCCCCGGCGACGTCCTCAAGGCCTGGCTCGCCTACCTCCGAAGATACTTCCCCACTCTCCCCATCCGCGCCTCCAAACCCTCCCCCAACGCCCACACCTTTGACCACAAGGACCTGACGATACAGGCCACCTCCGCCGCCCTCTTCAGGGCCCTCAAGGCCTACGCCGCCTCCAAGAACCTGAAGCGCGCCATCTCCGTCGGCGTCATCGGATACCCCAACGTCGGCAAGTCCTCCGTCATCAACGCTCTCCTCGCTCGCCTGAGCGGAGGCCGCGGCGCCAACTCCTCCAAAGCCTGCCCCGCCGGTGCCGAGGCCGGCGTCACCACCTCCATCCGCGCCGTCAAGATCGACAACAAGCTCACCCTCCTCGACTCCCCCGGCGTCATCTTCCCCTCCAGCTCCCTCCAGACCGGCACCGGCGCCGTGCCCCTCAAGACCGCCTCCGACAAGCACGCCCACCTCGTCCTCCTCAACGTCGTGCCCCCAAGCAGATTGAGGATCCCATCCCCGCCGTCACCCTGCTTCTCCGCCGCCTCTCCGCCCAGCCAGACTTTGTCAAGAAGCTCACGGAAGCCTACGATCTGCCCCCTCATCCGCGACGAAAAGGGTGACCCTACCACCGATTTCCTCGTCCAAGTCGCCCGCAAGCGCGGCAGGCTTGGCAAGGGCGGTGTTCCCAACCTCATCGCCGCCGCCATGACCGTCATCACCGACTGGAGGGACGGCAGGATCAGGGCTGGACGAAGCCCCCGCCGCCGCCGTTGCCGAGGCTTCCGCGCTCCAGGGCATGGAGTCTGGTGCCCCCGTAGAGGTCTCTCCCGACGAAAAGGTTATTGTGACCGAGTGGGCTGAAGAGTTCAAGCTCGACGGTCTATGGGCCGACGCCACTGTTGACCAAGATGCGATGCAGCAATAACTTGAAGAGAATGGAGAACTAGGAACGAGTTTATAACTAAATGTAGCGTGCTTGTTTAGCAAAATGTCGGGGGAGAGGGAAAAAGGCAGCAGGAAAAAGACAGTGGTTTGGGGCATACTAGCTCTCCCTTTCTTCTAGGGCCAGGGGACGGGGGCTTTTTCTTTTTCTTCTTCTCTTCTTTCCTTTCCGGCTCTCTTTTCCTCATATCCTCGAGTTTTCGTCCCGTCATGATAAGTTTCATTGTTCTAGTTTATTTTTTATCGGCGTCAAAAGGTAACCTGGGAACGGGTATCGTAGTGGAAAAACGATTCAAATACATTATTGAATTCTTTCTCGTGTGCATTCCTTGGTACACTGTCCCTGAACCGTCAAATCTGTAGGGAAAAGCCCAATATTTGATATCACGCCTGATATGAGGAGGAAAAGTACAGTGATGGCTTTGTTCTCATGTTTTTGCGCCTATATCAGGTCCTTCCACCCCCAAGCGAACTTCGAAGTGGGCTATCTTAGCTGATTTTCTAGAACCATTCATCTCTTGTTTCTCTTCTCCCTATCCCTTTGCCTCCGGTATCTTCCTTGGTACTTTCTCTACTTAACAAGTTCCATCTTCACGCCTCTCTTGCCAGTCATCTCGTCCTTCTCGTCCGTCACCCTAACCTTGACCCTCTGGAATAGCTCGATGCGGATCTCCCGACTTCCGCTCGTCTTGAGCACGTAGTTTTCTGCGTCGAATTCGCTCTCCGGCTCGGGAGTGGCGAGTTCTCGGAGACGGATGAGACCCTCTATACCGAACCGCGGCACGAGCACGACGAACCCGTTGCTGAATACCTTCATTACGTAGGCGTCCTCTTCGGCTACCTTGCCCTTGAGGGCCTGGCCGACATAGTAAGCGATGCTAGCGCGGCCAGCAAGCTGCGCGTTGCGGTGGCGAACATTGATGTTCTTGCATACGGCTTCGAGACGGCCTCGCGAGCGGACAGACGGATGGACCGCCTCGTAGTCGATGGCGGCGGCAAGCTGTCGGTGAGCCATCAAGTCGGCATAGCGACGGATGGGCGAGGTGAAATGTGTGTATATCTCGCTGGCAAGACCATAGTGACGGAACTCCGGGTACGCTTGGGTCCCGGAGCAAAAGTACTCTGCGCTCATCATGCACCGTGTAGCCATGATGCGGATCAAAGTGTTGAAAAAGGGTTCTCGGGGTCAACACAAGTATCGAGTGAATCAGCGAGAGCCTTGCTCGAGTCCGTGCGGAGCTCCAAGCCCTTCTTCACTTTGAGCTGATCGGCGAGCTCGTCAAAGTTGGTCTTGGGAGGGGCGCGTGGCGACGGAGGATGGCGGTCTGGGGGAAGGCCTCGTGGATCTTACGCGCAACGCTGACGTTGGCGAAAAGCATAAACTCTTCCACAAGGGAGTTGGTGTCAAGAAGTTCCTTGGTCTTCACATCGATGGGGTCCGATGTCTCTGACTCCATCTGCACCTTGACCTCGGGGGACGACAGGCTGAGCGCGCCGGCGTCCATCCTCTTTGTTTGAGCTTTTGGAAAGCTTCATGAGCACGCGCATTCCATTTGTGAGATCATCTTGTTGGGATGGGTCGTCGATCCGCAGTTGCGCCTGCTCGTAGCTAAAAGCTTCACGAGACTTGATCACAGACTTGGTGTACTTGACGTTGATGATGTCGGCGTCTTCGTTTACCTCCCATAGTACTGAGAAGGCAAAGCGCTCTACATACGGCTTCAGCGAACACAGATCGGTTCCTAGAAGCATCGGAAGCATGTCTATGCGCTTATCCACGAGGTAAACGGTGGTGCCGCGAATGCTGGCCTCTGTATCCATTGCATTGGATGGCTTGACAAAGTGGGACACGTCAGCAATGTGCACGCCGACTTCGTAGTTTCCATTGTCTAAAAGTCGGGCGTGGAGGGCATCGTCAATGTCCTGGCATCCGACAGGGTCGATGCTGCAGATGAGGAGGTGTCTCAAGTCCGCCCGGTCCCTCCACCCGGGATCATCCGTACTCGACGGTACCTTCCAATCATGGCCCTCCTTGGGAAGACAGTCGAGGACTGTTTTGGGAAAAGGCCTATACTGAACGTCGTACTCCAAAAGCAGGGCCTCGGTTTCCGCAGCCTTGGTCTCAAGTTCGCCCAGAGAGCGGACGAGATGGCCGGTGGGATGCCTCGTATCCCTGCCCCAAGCGTCAATGGCTACCAAGAGACGCTTTCCGAGCAGTTCGGTAACCTGCCGGGTTCGAAGGCGTATTTTGGGCACGCGCTTATCCATTGGTATTAGGAAGACGCTATCCATTTTACGGCCTTGACCAGCACCACGACTGGCGGAAGAAGGGTCAATGTGGCCGACATATTGCCGCCAATTGCGTTTGATGATGCCAACAACCTTGGCCGTAGGTTGCGCCCGGCCTTCTGTAGTCTTGCTGTGCGTTCTTTTGACTTCCTCCTGGAGGAGTTTTCGCTCCTTGTCCGACACCAAATCCTCGTCCGCTTCACCGTCCGCATTCTCGTTCTTCGTAACGGCCTCCTCCTCAATGATGACTGTCGATGGCTCCTTCCACAGTTCCTTTGGAAGGACTTCGACGACAACGACATCTCCATCAACTGAGCGGCTGATATTTTCACGGCCTAGGATGATGAGCGGTTTCGTGAAAGCCGGAACCTTGATCGAGCCCTCCAGGTAGTTATATGGGGATACGTTGAAGATGCCCTGATGGAGGAGACCAGCCTTGACGCCAGTCATCATCCTCGATAGGGTGTAGTGCTCCGCGTAGAGGAACTCTGAAGGCTTGTGGATCAAGTCACGAGTTTGAGACTCGGCGACCATGTCTAGCAGCCTGTCGCCATCCTCGACACCACCTAGATAATCAGCAAGAGTCTGCGCGGGGATGCCGGCGTCTTTCGCCTTCTTGATGTTGTTGCGGTCATCGGTGAGCATCACAACGGCTGGAATCTTTGGCGCCTTGGTCTTAGCAAGATGTTCAGCGTACCATTGAACAGCGCGGCGGATGGCACGATCGTTTCTGTCGTTGATGGTTTCGTTGTCTTCCCGCTTGACATATGTTTCCAATCGAAACTCGTTGAAAAACATAAAACCTTTTGTCCTCACTTTTCGTCAAGCTAATCAGACGATTATAAAGAGGCAGCGATCTGTTGCGTAACTCCTCCAAGACGGTTTGTAGGATGATGACATCATAGAAAACTGAGCTCTGCTCAAAGACATCCATGGCGTTGAGCAGCGCGTTAGTATCAGGGACAACATAGTGGCCTTGCGGGAAGGCCTTGGTCCCGGCTGGTTTCTCCGAGAGGACAAAGGGCAAGGCTAGGTGATGGTGGTTAGTACAAGGGTAGGCGAGTGGAGACCTCCTCTTCGAACGGGGAGAGGAGGGAGGGGGTCCTCACCATTTCCAGCAGCATCCTTTGGTGCAGAATGCCGACATTTTTACATAGCTTAGAGGAACAGGGGATATCTTGGCGGAGGTAGACCTCGCGCACAATCTTTTGAACCTTGCCTCTCTTGGTCGAGCGCACAAAGGTCTTGCTCGAGATATTGCTGGCGAGGGGATCCGATTCGATGGATCTCTTTAGACTCGTCATCTTGTTTGTATGCGAGAAATGCAGCCGTATTTCCGGCTTACCTGCGCGACGGTCTCTCTTTGCAGGCAGTGGTTTATGGTTCGTCGTTGGCTTTGATAGATGCGATGCTGCAACAGTCTGGCGGGCTGGTTGATGGTGAGGGAAGAATTTGTGGCGGGTGGGGAGCTGCGTTTGTGGGGCGAATTAAAGCTGCCCCCGCGCTTGCTTATCGTTATCAGCCGCGGTATCGTGTCGTGCCTGCACACTGGCACTGGCAGTGGAACTGACCCGCAACATAATCCCGCTTGTACGCGTCCAAAGCAGCGCAGACCTGGAGTTGGCGAGTTTTATGGCTCCACTTCAAGGAGGGTCGCATTCCAGAGACCAGGCATGACAAGAATAGCTATCAACGCGTACCCTCGACCGAAGACATATTAATGAACATATTAAGAGCTTGCTGGCCTCCTATATGCCGAGCTACGTATCGCCACACCCAGGCACAGCGCGACCGTGACTGGCACCTATGCAAAATGATTCATGGATGTCTCTTGTCACGTGGGAAGCACCCATCACGGTCGGCATCATGATGGATGCACCGACCGACTGTTGACCCCGGCGACGAAATGTCAAGTGAGGACCTGGTCGAAGAATGCCCTCGAGTCAGGGTCCCCTCAAACCCATTTTTGGTTGGGTCGGGGGTGGCGGGTTTCGTTCATTCAAAGGGGGAGAAGAAAGAAAAACACCCAGGCAACTCGATCTGCTCTACTCATCGCCGCTCACCCCAACCTAGCAATCTGACACATCCCGACACGAGAGAAAGAGAGAGGCTAAGCTAGAGCGGTGTGATAGAGGCGTATTAGGCTCAGCTTCGACCGAGCCGTTCTCGAGCAGCTCTGCCAATTGCAGGGGCTCCTCGGTCAAACCCCTCCCGTGTGCCCACAACCGTCATCATGGTTTCATTGGAAAGCCTTCTAGCACCTACGTACATTTGGCCGTTTGCGTTGATTTTAACCGTAGTCACAACCCCCCCTTACGCCCCCCGACCGAGATGCCCGTCCGGTGATTTGCTCCTCCTCAGAGAAGTGGCAGGCGAGAAGCGCTTATTAATATGTCCTTGCTTGACCTGAATCATATGATCTACAGTTCAATTCAGCCGGCGACTTTTACCATATTAACCATTCCTGCGATGCTTGTGAATTGAAATGACTGGGATGCAGGCTCGAGATCGCTCTCTTCGGACCCCCAGGACTTGAACGATCCCGGGCCCGTGGCGTTCCATCATCTTGTTGCCTTATTGTGGCACCTCGCTCGGTGACAAGAGCCAGCGCCGTCGGATGTGCCAGATGACGGATGGATGCTCTTCGCAACGCCTGCCCGCCGAGGTATGTACTCGTCCCGGTCGAGCCACCTTACCCATTTGATGGCCGGCCGGAGCGTGTTTTGCCTTGCACTTGCCATCGATCTGAGAACGGATGATCGGCGGTCTCCCGTGCCACTCCGGAGCGTGGTGAAAGAGCCTCGCTTAACCTGGTGACAGGTTACCGACTCAACTCCTCCTCCGTCCGTTTGGCTGCTACAACGGTCTCTAGAAGCTTGTGTGTTTTCTTCTCTCTTACAGTTTCCTTGGTTCCTTCTGGTTTCTCACTTTTCACTCCCTACCGCACTATTACGTGCAGTTTACAGCATCTGTCTGAAAAGGCCGTGAGATCGTAGAGACCCAGCCTCAACCCCGAACGGCCCTTCGTCAAGTAGATGTTTTAACCTGCCGCTAAGAAATATCCTTCGCTAAGGTCTAAACCGCGTTTTCCTTCTTGGCTCGGGGAATCATATTACTTTGATTTAGCTAGTGAGTACACCCGCAAGTATGATTTGGCCAGGGTATCCGTGGACAAGAATGCGTTGCAAAGAGATCTCAACACTGGAGAGCACGGGCTTAAGGATAAGCGGGGACGACGAGGGGTGAAAAAGTTTGCCTAAGAGTTGAACCATCAGCCTGGATATCAATTGATGATGACAGACTTAGCGAAATATGGGGAAATGGGTGGCATCTGACGGGTTGGGGTGGATGGTCCGGGAAAGGGAAAGAGGATATACCACAGGCTACCCAGCCTCTGCCACTTGCGAGATGAGCCTACAGCGTTGACAAAAAAACTAGATTCGCGCAAGGGGTGGAGCGGGTGGCAAACGCGGCGCGACTATGCGTGAGATGAAGAGGCAAATGGTTTGAGGGAAGCGGAAGTTAAAGGGGAGCAAGAGAGAGTGTAGGGAGTGAAGTCGACGAGAGCCAAAAGGATGCAGCCGGAGAAAGGGCCATTTGCCTTTTGTAAGCAGACAAGGCAGACTACTTCAACGAGATGAAGCAAGTGAGAGTTATCAACTTGACTTTCATCAATGCTTCTCATAACCACATACCCTTTGAAGGTTTTTGACACCTCCCATTCTGGGATATTCGCCACCAGTCAAGAATCGATCTTCGCGTCAACCTAAAGCAGCACGGCACAAGCCGCACAAGCCGCAACAAGCGCCGAAAAAGGATCTAGGACGTATAGCTCCGGGTTCCTCAGTTGGGCATACGTCGGGGGCTGGTTGTAGACTTGAACACCTTGCCATACACATATCTTTTGCACCCTCCCACCCTCCGCAATCGAGTAAGTTTAGAGTCGAGAGGGGAGTTTGGAAGGAGCCTCTCATCCTCCACGGTGGAGGTGAGACGGGCCCGAGAGCGCGTAGACTGGTATATCTAGACTTAAATTGTATAACATAAAACTTGAGTTGAAAAGTCTCTTTATTGATTCAGCCTCATATTTCCGAGGCCCGGTTGAGAAGAGATTCGTGGATATCCAGATCCATAGGCCCGCGCAGAGCATGATTGATATCCAAGCCGTTGATCAGTGGTTGATTGCTCGGGTGCTTTGGTGGGTGCTGGGGCCGAGACGACTTGCCAATCAGGGAAGTGTGGGTGTTCGTCATGAACCAAGGGCCAGCGTGAGCAGGGATCAGGGATAACCGTATTCCCACAATCCAGTCGGGTGGAGGTTTGGATGGCTGAGCCCTCTGGAGAGCGGAAACTTCTGCAACTGCAAGACGGAGCGCTGGCGTAGGGTTGGTCCAGGGTTGGCTCAGGGTTGGCCCAGGGTTGGCCCAGGGTTGGCCCAGGGTTGGCCTCTGGCTCAGGGTTGGTTGTGCGCCTTTGAGTGGGGACAGGCCTCAGGTCCAATCACGCTCATCGCTCCCTCCCGGCAGGCGCCCAGCATCTGCCCTCCCTCCCCTGTCTCTTCCTCCTCTTTTCACACCTTCAGTTCGTCACCCTCCTTCCCAACTGCCAACGATGACACCCAGTATCCAGCGGTCCCCACTCCCTCTCTTCAGAACTCTCCTTCGCTTGCATGTGGGACAGAGACGACAGACCAGTCGATAGACTAGTCGACAGACGGCTGCCCGCTCCCCTCCATCTTTTGTCGCCGTCCCACCCACCCTCCTTTACGATTTCCGTTTGATAAAGTGCCAGTTGCATACCTCCTCTTGACTCATTTCCCGGAGCTAAACTCCTCCTGGGGTGAATGGCACGGCCTCCAGGTCGAAGAAAGGTCGGCTTGAAACCTGGCAGGGTGGGAAGGAGCACCTCAGGCTGGCCCGACAGTCGGGCGACAGACAGAGGCGGCGGGGAGGGCTTTCTATCCCTGGGGCGGGCGCTTTCTTGGAAACGAAATGACTTGCAGAGCCCTTGAAGCAGAGGAAGCAGCACGGAAACCCACACGGCCACGCCCCCTCCTTCCCACCCTGTCACCCTGCAATATTAGTGTTGGTATAGGGTCAGACTAGACCACATTGATCCTTGCCTCGCGAGCGGGGATTCGCCACCTTTCACGAGGATCGATCGTCGCCAACATTCAGTGCGTCTTACACGGGCTATGAGATCGAGTTGCTCACTTGTTCCTTCAGTTTCTAGCCTTCTCAAGAAACGTGCACGAATGAGCCCTCAAGTGCTTCCAAGCGGTAACCCTAGCCTCGTAGTTCAAGCGCGGGAGCCAGTGAACCCCTTCAATCATCAAAGCAGGCCTACGTGCCTCGGTTCGAAGAGGTCACCTTTCCCATTGTCCCTGCTCTCGAAGCATTATCTAGTTATGTTTTCCATGTCCATCCTGTCTGTCTCCCCACCAGGTAATTCTACAAAGTACCTTGCTGCTTTGTATCAACAGGCTGGAAATTCCGGGCATATCACTCAGGCCCCGTGAACCTAAGCCATGAGGGAAGCCGTTCACTTGCTTGCTATCACTGCCTGCGCCAAATCCAAGCCGCAAGAGAGAAAGCTGACCGAGCCACTCAGGCAGACGGGAGGCACAGCGGTTGGCTGACAACAGTGCGAAGCCTTCGACTTCATTGCCTTGAAATGTAAGCCTGCACGACTCGCTTTAATCTGTCACATGGGACCGGAGGCTCCAGTTTTCTTCTGCCCGTATCTGAAAGGCCCCTCCACTTGATGCAGTTTGGGTCAGAGTATGGGTACTATGCGCCCCCAGCAGTCCGGCGAGATCTCAGTAATATGACTCGAACGCTATCCGTTAATATTTTCCATGTGCAGAAACATGGGGAAGGGGCACCAAACAGGTGGCCGAGCATGCTGGCTACATCGACTCGATTCCTGAAAGACGAGCATCCCGCGGGCGGGGAGGAGAACAGGCTTACTGGCGAGGGCGGCCGCACTGAGGGTACCAGTCTAATACCAGCCTGACGAATCCTCACGGGTTCAGAAGCGGATCGAGCCAAGGCCGCGCAGGCGCCCAGTAAAGAAAATTAGTCAAGAAACCTCCAATCTGTAGACGGCTTTGGCTCCGGGAGTTTCGCTCTCAACAAGGCCGAGATGAAGCGGAGAAATCCGACTCCAACTTGGTCTTCGTGCAGGCCCGTGATCCTACCTCGCTGTTTTAACAAAAGCATTTGAGTGTCCGGAAAAGGCTACACCGGTAGTCCGGCTATTTCGATGCGACACCTCCATGGAGCTGAAATGCAGGGTGTTCTCA